GTACACTCACAAACACAGACAAACGCACTCAGGCAAAAGAACTCATTAATATACGTTCGTAGGCACACACACACACGCATATATATATATATATATATATATATATATATATATATATATATATATATATCTTTAATAACATAGGAAAATGCGATTATGTTTACAAATACATGAGGTGGATAAGTCCCAGTATCTATATATATGAAGATTTAAGAATTGAATTTGAAAACATCTTTGTACTTATAAAGAATACATATTTGTATGTTCTATGTATGTTTAAGAATGTGTGTCTTTATATATATATATATATATATATATATATATATATATATATATATATATATATATATATATATATATATATATATGAACATTATATTGATGAAAAATTCACAGCGATTTCATTTACATCGTGTTAGAGAAGTCTTTCAAATGTCTCTGAAATGTACTTGCGTGTTATTTTGATTTCTATATGTGTATGTACTTTTAATTCTATCTTATATGTCGTGTTTCTTTAGGAAGTGGGTGGATCATGGCTCTCCATCACTTCTTATCCTTTGTAGATTTAACCTATATTTGTCCAGTATCTCTGTATTCTCGTTTTCTTCTATTATCCATTCATACAAGGTTATGTTAACTTTGTTTCTGTTTTTCCTGCTTTTAATATGACCCTTGAGTTTCCTTTTTCATTGTTTGTTTTAAATGTTTAACTCTCTCTTATTGATTCCAATTTTAATTTTCATCCCATATTCCTTAAAATTTCTTTGTTCATCATCTTTATTCATCGTATTCCCAGCATCTTTCTGTCGAAACACATTTCTCTTGCCTGTATTCTTTGTGAGGAAATTGTCCAGCATTCATCGTCATATTAGTGGAGAGGATTGATATTACTATTCTCTTTGTTTTTGTTTATTCTACTCGTATTTTTAGGAGTGGGGGCAGAAGTAAGTCGGAGTGCAATATAATGTTTTGTGTAACGCATATATATTGTATATAACGGAAGTATATTGTATTTCCGGTCAAAATTTGGAACTGATTTATTCTTTTTTATCAAATCGTCAGTACCGTTGATGAATTCAAAAATCTAGATACGATGGCGAAGAGTTCTGTCGAACAGTTACCATAAAATTATTTAGAGAAAAGGCATAAGAAAACTATATTACGGCGATAGGTAAATTGCAGACATTAAGTCTGCTAATTTGTAATAAAATCCATTCATACTCACGAATAATTTTCCGTGTATTGATGTTAAAGAAATGTTTGAGAAATGTGCTATATCTTTTTAAGTTTCTTTTATTTTCATTTCCCAGGTATTTTCGATAATTATCCAAGATCATCTTCAGGGATGCAAGTGGTAAAAAACGTTTTATAAATAAGTTGTTCATTTGTATAAGTATTTATATAAAGATGTGCATTGTAATCCATATAGTTTTGTACCACTTGCACCTTTGAAGATGATCTTGGAAGAATATCGAAAGTACTTGGAAATTTAAACAGCTCTATCTATCTAGATATCTGTCTATTTAATTTGTTCATCTCTCTCTTTCTCTTTCTCTCTCTCTCTCTCTCTCTTTATCTGCGTCTATATCTATCTCAGTCTAATCATATCACGGGATCTATCTATCTTCTATGAAAAATCACATATCTATACATTCTATATACACACACACACACACACGCGCGTGCATATATATATATATATATATATATATATATATATATATATATATATATATATATATATATATATAATTAATCACAAAAACAAATGCAAATGTTAATGATTTAATGTAAAAAAATTAAAATTTAAAATCAAACTCAGCGTTGCTACTGCGCACTCCAAAATCAATAACTCATTTCCAATAGCATTTTCGGATACAACAATATATATATTTTCGTTGTCCTCTTATTACTAAGAGAAAAACAAGAACAACATCTATTCCATACCTGAAGATGTCTGTAGGAACAGACGAAAAGCTTGTAGTAAAAAATAAGAACTAATACGGCAGAAGTTTATAGAAACAAGGATCTTTTCATTCATAACGGATTCCGAGGTTTTTGTATATTATTTGAATTGTTTGCGATGATGGATTTCTCGCCAATTAAATCATTAACCTTTGCATTTGTTTTTGTGTGGATAATTCATGAATTTGTAAATTGATTGCACGTTTATCTAAATTATATATATATATATATATATATATATATTAATTTCTCAGGGTTTTTTTAGACATCTAAATTACTATCAAGCATTAAAATCTACGTTTTACATAAATTGCTAAAACCCATTTACATCCTCTTTCTCTTTACTTCCCTCTCCCTTCCTTTTTCTTTTCTCTCTTCTCCCCTCCCATTTCAATATATCACTTCCATTAAGTTAACCGTTTAAATAGGTCATGGTCTGGTCACTCCTCCTCCCCCAATACTAAGTATGATTGAGAGAGATATTAAATTAAACCCTCCCTAAACTCTACCATGTCTCTCTAACTGCTCCTATTACACTCTCTGTTAAATTACAAAAACTCACACTACCCATCAATTTTCATTTCATTTTTCGTTTCATTTTTGGAAGTGCTATCTGATGATCCGGCGTCCTTTAAAAGGCCTCTGGTGAAATAAATTATTATAATGGAACCTTAAAGTGGTCTGTTTTTCTTTAATATATATATATATATATATATATATATATATATATATATATATATATATATATAAACATGTAGGAATCAAGAAAATAGTGAAACTATAATATGTAGTTTGTCCAGCTCATGACAAATAATGTTGCCAATATTTCTTTTGATTGTATCAAGCATGATATGTGTAAAATACAAAGTCAGGTATCCAGTTGCTTGTCGAAATCTCTGCCTTCGGGCGGAAGGAACCCAGATGAGGCTACGCCCTTCGGCATAGCCTCGTCTAGGGAGGTAGAAAACCCGATCCTGTTATTACGGGGTTAATAAGGAATTTTTACTCGAGCCGAAGGGCTCGGAAAAACACACACGTTAAACCGGCCTTGTGCTACATCTCGCTCTGTGAGGTGTTCGGCTAAATACCAAGTCAGGTATCTAATTTACACTGTTATTTATATTTATGAACAGGAACCCCTTGTTAACTATTATTTTTCAGGAGTAACTATGAGTCTCTTAGAATGAGAAGATCTGTATCCCCTCCAATAGGTTACGGCAAAAATGGCTTCTTCATCGGCTAAGTTAGTCCAGGATTGCATCCTCCACATACGTTAAACCCGAAAGGATTGGTCTTCCACGTGTGAATGAGTAAATTTATGTAGTGTCGGATAAAATTGTTGTTGCAAAAAGCAGGTGATGAAAATTCTTAGTACAATGATAATTTTGAGGTCCCTACGTTCTGGAAGATTGAAAAGTTATAGATTTATGGTTCCTTGGGAAAAGTGTCAGTTCAAGTAACACTTAACAATTCCCAAGATAAAATATAAATTTACAAGTTGCCCAAAAGTAACCAAGGGGTCTGAAATTGTAATAACATTTTTTTTTTAAATTTATTAACGTCTTTCAATTTCCCTTCTGGTATTTTATAAAGGACGCTTTGGAAACTAATTTTGTAAAAAAAAAAAAAAAAAAAAAAATTACATGACGGGAATCTTTTCTACCAAGCCTATGGGTAAATAATTCAAACTCGCCAAGCGTAGAGTCGCTTTTACTGTGTGAGAGATTTTCCAAGTTTTGGGTGTAAAGGTTAAGTGACCTTCTCCGAATGGGCATACCAGGTTTGATGAATATGTCTTCTTTCTCAAGTAGTGTAAAATTATTTCTCTATGTAATACTGTAGCATTGTTAATTAATCTAAAAAATAATAAGAGACATATCCACACAATTATGGCATGTCTGTTCTTACCAATTAAGCCCCAGCTGTCGAGTAATGATCACTTCCTCCCCATGAATCTGGATGTTTAGAGACTGAGAAGAAAAACCCTTTTTGTACAAGAGCCAGATTTGCAGGAGGTGAAAGAGAAGTCGTCTAGGAATACGTCCATTAAGACTTTTTTAAAAGCATTTCAGACCAAGCAAGGCAGGGTTACAGAGTGTAGAAATGAAAGAAAATACTGAGTATATGGAGGATTGATGAAAGTATAAAAGATGACCAGGATTTAAAAAGATAGAACATAGCGATTAACATTAACGTTGCATTTAAATTTTTGAAGATTGTATTTATCTTGGAAGCAAATCAACGGAAGAAAATTCCATGAGCGGGAAGTGCGAGAAAATAAACTATTGGAATAGAAACGGCGATTTCATTTCATTTCCAAGCGTAAACGGGTGGGACAGAGATGATAGTCTAGTACTATGCTTAAATTCACCCAGTCGGGATACCTGGGAGAATATATCGTCAGAGCAGTTGCCATGAAAATACAGGGTGTCCATAAAGTTCGTGTGAACCTTGAAAAATTTATTTGCATTTGCGATAGAAATAATCTGTAAAAAATGTTATAAAATTTAATGTACCTAGTTTTAAGTATAGTTATTGAATAATTCTTTACCATAAAATAAGGAATTTCCTAACAGATGGATCGGAAGGGGTGGACCATTTTATTGGCCTCCACGTTCGCCAGATTTGACTCCATCAGATTTTTTTATGGCGACATGTTAAAACAATTGTGTATGCAACTAAACCTCGTTCATTAGAAGATTTGAAAGCTAAAATAACTGTGATTTCAGGGATTACTGTAAATCAGTTGGCAAATGTTTTCCGTGAACTGCCAAATCGTATTAACCTTTGTATTGCTAATGATGGAGGACATGTGGAAACTTATATAAAATTTCAATAAAACCTTAAAAAATATAGATTTGCTTCTTTCTAATCCTTTTTACAAATTATTTCTATCGCAAATACAAATAAAATTATAAATTTTTTAAATTGCACACGAACTTGATGGACACACTGTATTTGCAAAAAAGATAAAAGGAAGCCACACCACGTTAGTGGGAAAGTGACTGAAGTCGAGATGCCAAGTTAGGTTCGAC